ACCACAGAATGTTTTTACCCTCCTTGAGGTCTAAATCAGGGTTCACTCAAACCACTCTTGCATGTTCCCTTTTTCCACTTTAAGACCTGGACTACATCAAGATCCCATTAGACTGCTCCATGTCCATCTTCCCATCCCCTTCCACTGGCTCTTCCAAGTAGAAGGCAGCCTAACCTTCCTTTTGCTACAGGAATGGGAGAGAAGAGAATGTAAACAGGAGAGATCCGGGATTGACATTAAAAGGAATTCCTCTGCTGGGCTTTGTGTATAATTATCTTATCTTCCTACTCAGAAGTCAGGTAACTTGAACAGTGACCTAAGTGAATGTCACAAAGAATACCATGTTGTTCTTGATTAGTATCAGAGTCTCTCTTCTTTGGTGATGGAACGGAAAATGGCCTGTGGAGAAGTGGGTGATTATCAAACTCAGTTACCCTCCACTTTCGTTTATTCAAGAGACACCTGGAGACCACCTACCTCAGGTTACACTAAGAGGTAATGAAGATTAAGTAATTAAAATGGATTCAACAAAGATGTATGGAGTGCCTCTGTGGTATCAAGCACTGTTCTAAGTGTGTGTGTAGGGGGTGGTGGATAGGTAAACAAAACAGATAATCCCTTCACTCATGGAGTTTATGTTCTAATGGAGGGCAGGGGGAAGAGAAAAAATAAATATAATTCATATGTGTGTGTTAAAAGGAAGCTAAGTGTTTTGGAGAAAAATAAAGATGGGTAAAAAGGTAGTATTGGAGGAGATGTTTAAGTTTTAAATAGATTGGTTACAGGATTCCAGCCCAAAGCTTACATACAATGTAGTAGGGGGCATGGACTGGTGTTTAATATAATGTAGGTGATTAGAAAAGGAGTGCAAGCTTCTGGTTGAGAGAACTGAAAAGCTTCACAGAAAAAGTTGGACACGTGGGCAGATAGAACTAGGAGAGAGCCTTCTGGACAAAGGAGAACCAGAGGGTATAGACAAGTTACAGCAAGTGCTTCAGATCTACTGAATAAGATTCCCATAGGAGGGTGATAATTAGGACTAAAATGTAAGTTGATATCACATAGTGGTGACTTACAATGAAAGATTTTCCAATACTGAACCATTTTCACACAACCTGGGATAAATCAATTCAATTTGATTGAGGTACTTTCTCTTTTTATAGGGTTGGTTTAATTTGCACTTTTTTTTTTACATCTATAAGCATGAGTGAAATGGACCTATGCTTTTCTTCTATTGTTATATCTTTGATTTTCTTAGTAGAGTCTTCCTTGACAGGCTAGTAGTTTGAGTTAGGATTGTTCCTTCTTTTTCTATTGACTTTAAGGAGAAGCCCATAAAACTGGGGTGAATAAAATGGAATCTGCTTATAAAATCATCAGGGCCTGGTGTTTTCTTTGTGGGAACACTTTACCCACTGCTATATCTTTAGTAGTAGCTTTTTATTTAAGTTTTTAACTTCTTGACTTAGTTGTGGTAATTTTTTTAAGAGATTTGTTCATTCCCTACACAAAATCTTTTTAAAATTGTTGGTATATAGTTGTTGATATTATTTCCTTTTTAACTTCTACTTTATTTACAGTTATATTAACCTTTTCATTTGTAGTTTCTCTGTTTTTGTTTGTGAACATTTTTGCCAGAAGTTTGCCTACTTTTTAGTTTTTTCTTCCAAAAAACCATTTTTTGGCTTTTCTTATGTTTTCTGTCATATATTCTATTTCCAAATCATTAATCTCTGTGGTTATTTTCATATTTTTCCTTCCTGTTTTTATAGGTTGATTCTGTTGTTTATTGTCAAATTTCTTAAGATGGACATTTAACTTATTAATTTTGAGAGTTTTTATTGTAATTTTTTACAATTATAGAACTCCCTCAAAGCTCCATTTTTACTGCATCCCATATGTGGTGTTGAATATTTAATTCTAAATATTTCTAGATTTTGATTATAATTTCCTTAACCAATGAGTTATTTAGCAGTGTGTTTTTAAATTTTCAAATAGGCATAGATTTTTAAAAAGTATCTTTTGTTATTGAGCCCTGGCTGCTGTGGCTCAGTGGATTGAGTGCCGACCTGTGACCGATTCGATTCACTGGTCATTGGTTCGATTCCCAGTCAAGGCACATGGCTGGGTTGTAAGCCAGGTCCCCAGTTGGGGGCGTGCAAGAGGCAACAGATTGATGTATCTCTTGCATTGATGTTTCTCTTCCCCTCTTCTCCCTTTTTTCTTCTCTCTCTAAAAATAAATAAAATATTTTTTAAAAATTTAAAAAGTATCTTTTATTAACTTCTAACTTAATTGAATGTTGGTTCCATATCATGGCCTGTAATTATCTATTATTTGTTGAGACTTCCTTATTATCTAGTACATGATTTTTTTTTAATCTTTAATGTGTGCCTAAGAAAAATGTGAGCATACTACTTTTGGTTGCAGAACTCAAGTTTATTCAAGTGTGGTACAGATCTTCTGTATTCTTGTTAATCTTATTTTTTTTCAGTCTACTTGACCAATAAATAATTGAGAAAAGCAGAATTAGAAGACATGCCTTAGATTTTATTTCACCAGTTCTGAGGGTTTGGAGAGGTCCTGAATGACTGTCAAAGTTAGTACCGACCTGTTTTAGCTCTTCACCGGCACAGGGTTTCTATTCTGCCCTGAAGTTACTCTGAAGGAAGTCTGGACCAGAGGTCTGAATCCCAAGCGGTGTGGGGGATACACTATTGTCTCAAGATTTGGGAGGGGGAGAAGTAAGAACAAAAATTGCAGCGGTTCCTTTTCTATTTTATCCTACCACACACTGCCACAAGGGTTTCTCATAGTTTTCCCTTTTCTTACTTAGCCCCTTTGGGGTTGATCTTTGGCAATGGGGAGCCAGCAACTATTCCAGTTCAATATCTTGGTAGATAGCAAAATGGAACACTGTACTTTTATATACATGTATGTCACCTCTAAAATCCTGGAAATGGGATTGCTTGAACACCTCTTCCCACATTAAACCTGTGTTGCCTCTTAATATTACTTTTTTTTGTTTGTGTATAGCACTACCAATCACACAAACCAGAACAGTATTTTTTCAAACCTGAGAGTAGGATAATAGAAAATAATAGGGGGCTTAATACAAAATAAGGGTAAGTAGTATTTTATAAAACCTTTTCAGTTCATTGGTATGTGTGCATGCATAAATATTCATAAGTACACTGAGCTGTGATGAAGAATGTAGTAATGTGGTTTGTAGTAAAAAAAATTGAAAAACAAAGTGATATTTTTAACCCATCTTTCTGCCTTACCTCCTGTAGCCATATATTACGAAAATCTGCTGATTCTGCTTCCTCAGTATTTCTCAAATTTGTCCCATCTTGCTCTTCCCCAGTAACCATTGCTCTAGTTACAGCCCTTTCTGGATTACTGCAACAGTCTCTGAGATTCATGTTCCACATTTCCTTATTCTTACCCAATAAGGTTTCCAAAATGTAAATTTTGCTTATTTAAATCCTTCTGTGGTACTCTAATGCCTGTGGATAATTTCTAAGCTTTATGATATAGTCCCTGCCTCCTTCTCTAGCTTCATCTGCTTCAATTCCAGTATCACTGGTGACTCTAAACCCCTTTCAGTTTTCCTCACACTCTCTGAAGGGTTTGATTTTATTATTCTTTCTCGTTTTCACCTGGTGTGAAGGGAGGATCCTTTATGCCAACTCCTTTTATTTACCTGGTGAACTGCAGCTTATTCATTCTCACTTTGTACAAGAAGTCTTACACCCTGCCCCAGGTGTTACTCCTCTGTGCTTTCAGAATATTCTGGGCGTTTATCATTTATACAGTCAGGTAGGTTTCAAATAATCTGTTTAGGTTAGTGTATATTTCTTTTATGGAAAGAGCTGGTCATACTCATTTTAGTGCCTAAAACAATGTCTGGCTCATAGTAGGTGTTCAAATGGTTGAATAAATAACTGAAGATATAGAAAATTAAAGTGCCTTTTTCAAGGACATGTGGCCTTTAGGTGACAAAATTGAGACTGGAAAATAAGTACCTCTTTTGTTGCCTCATGCTACAGACCAGTGCCCCTTCTATTACATATGTAAAACCAAGGAAGTACCATATTTATTGTGCAGTATTGAGGAAGTGACTTTAACCTAGTTTGCTGATAATTAAGATGATTAAATTATTTAATTTTTACATACTGTATCTATGGGAGCCTGTTTCTGGTACATGAATAGTTTTACATAAAATTTATATACCCACAAAGAGGTAAAACAGTGCAAGTAGATTCAGAAGTAACTTGGAAAAATCAAAATGGCCTTTTAGTGACTATATTTTGATAGGTCAGTTAAAATTTTAAAAAGTAATCTGACAGATTCTAGGCATACTGTTTTAAAAATTATTTGAGCTTTAGTTTAGAATATCTAAGGATGAAAATGGTGAATTTTGAAAAGTTGCATTGTAGGAATAGTTCAATAATACTTGTACATGCAAGTTCTGACATACTGTGATTCTTGTACCTTCAGGTTCCATTTTCTGAAGCATATCGTAGAAATCAGTTAGGGTTTAGAAACTAAGACCCATTCATCAATTTATGGGTGTGTTTCCAATTTCAGAAATTTTTAAAGAAGTTTTAAAAGTGAAGCATCAGAAAAAGGGTCAGAGCTGAAATATTTCTTAATATCATCCAGTATTCTGTGTGTATGTGTGAGAATTTCCCCAATTATTAAAAAAATGTATTTTTACAGTTGGCATGTTGAAACAAGATCCAAACAATGTCCACACATTCTTTGGTTGATATATCCTTGAGTCTTCCTTTATCTGTTAACAGTTTCCTCTCCCATTTTCCCCTCATGCCTTTTATTTATTGGGAAAAAAATTGTCCTATTCATATTTTAACTATATGGCAAAGTCAGTGAGAGTAGGAATGTATTATTTCAGCACTAAGAATTGTGCCTGACATTCAATGGATATTTGTTGAATAATGTAAATAATACTCAAGATCTGTGTTTTGTCCCTGCAGGTTGATCCGAAAGACTACATGTTCAGTGGACTGAAAAGTGAAACAGTGGGTCGTTTACCTGGGACAGTGGCAGGACAACAATTTCTCATTCAAGACTGTGAAAACTGTAACATCTATATTTTTGATCATTCTGCTACCATTACTATTGATGACTGTACTAACTGCATCATTTTTCTGGGACCCGTGAAAGGCAGTGTGTTTTTCCGGAATTGCAGAGATTGCAAGTGCGCACTGGCCTGCCAACAGTTTCGTGTGCGGGATTGTAGAAAGCTGGAAGTCTTTTTGTGCTGTGCCACTCAGCCCATTATTGAGTCCTCCACAAATATCAAGTTTGGCTGTTTCCAATGGTACTACCCTGAATTAGCTTTCCAGTTCAAAGATGCAGGGCTAAGTATCTTCAATAATAACTGGAGTAATATCCATGACTTTACACCTGTGTCAGGAGAACTCAACTGGAGCCTTCTTCCAGAAAATGCTGTTGTTCACCACCATGTTCCTCTGCCTACTACCAAAGAGCTCCAAGCTGTCCGCATTTCCACAGAAGCCAATAGAAGTATCGTTCCTGTAACCCAGGGTCAAAGACAGAAGAGCAGTGATGAATCATGCTTAGTGGTATTATTTGCTGGTGATTATACTATTGCAAATGCCATGAAACTAATTGATGAGGTAAGGAGAGAGAGAGAGAAGAGAAACAGACATACACCTGAGTAGAAACACACCAGTTTTCAAGAGAACTTCCATTCTTTTCAAATTGGCTATTAAAAATACAGACAATTATTAAATTATAGTCCTTTGTCCCCTATAGATTATCTGTAAGCTGGTTGCTTAGGCTTCAAAATACTTTCCCAAAGAAATTTTTTTAAAAATATAATTTGATTCAGTAAGTATTTATTAACCAGTTATGAGCAAGTTACTCCACTACCATGTTTCATTGATTATAGGATGCACATTTGTTTTTGTACATTTTTGTTATCTGAAATACATCTTACAATTGATGGCAAGTTAGAGGTGTTTAAACTGGGGTTGGATATACATTGACAAAATTCTCTGCCCTCAAAGAATTTGTCTTTATAATAAATGATTTCCACACAAGTTCACAAAAGTGTGGTGCTGCACTTAGAACCTTTTATAATTATTTAGTAGGAAAATTTATTTGGAGTTTTAATTGGTTAGGGGGTAGGAAAGACATTTACGAATACAACTTTTGGACCCTGTTGTGACCATGAGAGCAACCTTCTTATTACCTTCCTCTTGTCCTTTGCCTTATTGCCATGAAGGGGGGATTGGTACAAAAGAAAGAGGTGGGAGCTGGGACAGCAGAGGCCATGGACTTATGAACAGGGGCTTTTGGTGAGTTTGGTTAGCAGCTTACAGTTGAAAATAACTGGGGGTGTAGAGGTTAGGGGCTCCAGAAGCATATGTTCCTGTATGGATGGGTACTCCAGTGGTAAGGCAGCAGTAGGATATCTGATTATCCATTAATCAGATGTTCTTCAGGAAGAGTTTGAATTTTAAGATAAAACTTCCAGAAATGGAGAAGTGAATGGAAAACTCAGGAAGTCTATTTTGAGTGGATTTTTAAAGTATTGTAACAATTCTGTCAAGAGGAACAATTTTAGGTGGGGAGGGGGAACCTTGCTACCTCTCTGTAGCAAGGCTGTAGATGTACAGTCTGCAGTGTAGGAAACCGATGTCTGAATTCTACAAAGTATATCTGATGTCTAGTTTTCAAAACAACAGAAGCCAAAGTATAATTTTAAGACTTTGGTATTTTCTTTGTTTTAATTATACCAAGGTGATGGAAGCATGCTGTGAATCTGGTAAGATACAGAAAAAGTGTTTCTAGCCTTTGAGCTACTTAAAAATATGTTAATCCAACACCTGAGGGAAAAATATTTTCATTATATTCTACAGTGATTTTTAAAAATCTATGAAACAGTTTTCAAAAGATAAGAATTTTCAGGTTAAACTCTTTTGGTAGGTAATGAGGGGTGGACATAAAGAATATATGGTATGTTTAAAGAAAAAAGCCATCAAAACAAGTACTTGTCCTCATGAGTCATCATATGCTCTTAACCTTTTAACCTTTGGTATCTAATGTGTACAATGACTGTTGTTTGCCCTTTAGAGCAATGTGACTAGGAAGAGGGAGGTTCTTTAGATGTCCTTCTGGAATACAAAATAATTTAAAACAAACACAAACCTAAAAATAATGGTAATAGCTAACATTTATATAGTATTTTATGTATACCAGACACTGTCATAAGGGATTTAACTCAACTCAGAATAACCTATGAAATAGGTGTCATTGTTCCTCTTATTACATATAAGGGAAATAAGCCACAGAGAGGGTAAGTAACTTGCAAAAGGTCACTCAGCTGGTAAACATAAAGCCATGACTTAAATCCAGGCAGTGTGGCTTTGTAGGCTGCATCTATTTTTGAAAGATTTTTTTCTTTATTTTTTATTGTTTATGCTATTACAGTTGTCCCACTGTTTTCCCTTTTGCCTGCCTTCACCCAGCCCCTGCCCCCACCCTCTGGCCATAACCACTCTATTGTCTGTGTCTATGAATTATGCATATATATTATTTGACTAACCCCTTCACCTTCTTTCATCCAGTCCCCTTTCCCTCCTTCCCTCTGACAGCTGTCAGTCTGTTCTGTGTGTCCATGCCTCTGTTCCTATTTTGTTTGTCAGTTTGTTTGTTTCAGTAGATTCCACATACAAGTGAGATCATATGGTATTTGTCTTTCTCTGACTGGCTTATTTCACTTAGCATAATAACCTTGAGGTCTATCCATGCTGTTGTAAAAGGTAAGAGATTTCCTTCTTTTCTATGGTTGTGTAGTATTCCATTGTAAAAATGTACCACAGATTTTTTATCCATTCATCTATTGATGGGCACTTGGGCTATTTCCAGATCTTGTCTGTTGTAAATAGTGCTGCTATGAACATAGGGGTGCATATATTCTTTTGAATTGGTGTTTTGGTATTCTTAAGATATATTCCCAGAAGTGGGATTGCTGGGTCAAGAGGCAGTTCCATTTTTAATTTTTTGAGGAAACTCCTTACTGTTTTCCACAATGTAGGCTACATCCTAATCCTTAAGCCTGACACTGCTATGCTGCCTCGGTGTTAAAGTTGCTAAATGCCTGGTGGAGCAGGAATGTGATTAAAAAAAATGAATGGAGTTAAGACAGATAATATCATTCAGCCTAGAAGGAAAAACCCTGGGACTTTTTCACTAGTTGTCCTACATAAATCTGAAATCACAAAATTAAGGTATGAAAAGAGATCAAAAAGGAGAAAATGCCAAGTACATGCAAAGAGGATATCAAAATATGCTGAATATCAGTGACTTACATATTAAGAGAGAGACTGCATTAAAAAAAATGAAGCTCAAGATCCTAGGAAAATATATGTAGAAGCTAGTTAATTCTGAGGGGGGGGGAATAAAACTTGAGTCTTTCTTGTATTATAACACAAGTAGCTTAGACTAATCTTACACTGGAACTGTGATTGCTAACTCTGGTTTTATCACAGAATTTTGTTTCACTTATTTCTATAAATTAAACATATCCTAATGGTTTTTTGAGATAGGAAGTATAAAACTCAGGAGGGTAGAAAGTCCAGAAAATCTGGGTAAAAGCAAAAAGCACATTCTGTAGGTAGTTGAGAAATTATTGGGCTTTGGCTTTCTCACCTAAAAATCAGATTTCTAGCTGGCTCTTACTTAGATCACAGATATGCACAGGATAAATTAGACTAAAAGCAGTAGTTTGAATTGTTTAGAACTATTGCATAATTCAAGTTGGGCATTACCATTATTTTCAAGTCTTTAAAAAGTAGAAGAGGAGTTCCAGCCAAGATGGAGGCATAGGTAGAAATGCTTTGCTTTCTTGCACAACCAAAAGAAGGATAACAACCAATCTAAAAAAAATAAACCAGAAGTGCCAGAAGGTCAAACTGCATGAAACTCCAGCAACCAAGGAGTTAAAGAAACATTCACCTAGACCGGTAGGAAATGGGCAGCAAAGTGGAGAGGACGCTCGGCAAGGTGGCAGATTACGTGAGTAAGACAGGGCTGGCCAAATGGGAAACAAGACTCCAAGCTAGCTGTAAAATACTGCCGGGGTTACCACAGCATGAGAAACTCCCAGTCTCACACAAGAGATGGTTGGAAAGTGGGTCTAGAGCAGAGCAGAGCAAGCAAGCCATGTTGTTCCCTCTCTGACCTCTTCCCCACAGACAGCACCACAATGCACAAAGAGGGTTGCCTGGCCCTAGTGAATACCTAAAGCTCCACCCCTTACAATGTAACAGGTACACCAAGACAAAGAAATATGGCCCAAGTGAAAGAACAGATCAAAACTCCAGAGAAAGAGCTAAGTGAAGAGGAGATAGCCAACCTATCTGGTGCAGAGTTCAAAACACTGGTAATCAGGATGCTCACAGAACTGATTGAGCTCAGCTGCAAAATGAAGGAAGAAGTGAAGGCTACCCAGAGTAAAATAAAGCAAAATATACAGGGAACCAACAGTGAAGGGAAGGAAACCGGGACTCAAATCAACAATTTGGAACAAAAGGAAGAAATAAACATCCAACCAGAACAGAATGAAGAAACAAGAATTCAAAAAAATGAGGAGAGGCTTAGGAACCTCTGGGATAATTTTAAGCAACCTAATATCAGAATCATAGGGGTGCCAGAAGGAGAAGAACAAGAGCAAGAAATTGAAAACATTTGAACAAATAATGAAGGAATACTTCTCCAGTCTGGCAAAGGAAATAGGAAGTCCAGGAAGCCCAGAGTGTACCAAAGAAACTGGACACAAACAGGAACACATCAAGGCACATCAACATTAAGTTACCCAAGATTAAAGATAAAGAGAATCTGAAAAGCAGCAAGAGAAAAGGACTGGCTGCCGTAGCTCAGTGGATTGAGTGCGGGCTGGGAACCAAAGCATCGCAGAAAAGGAGAGAGTTACCTACAGAGGAGTACCTATGAGACTATCAGCTGATTTCTCAAAAGAAACCTTACAGGCAAGAAGGGGCTGGAAAGAAGTATTTGAAGTCATGAAAGGCAAGGATCTACATCCAAGATGACTCTATCCAGCAAAGCTATCATTTAGAATGGAAGGGCAGAGAAAGTGCTTCCCAGATAAGGTCAAATTAAAGGAGTTCATCACCACCAAGCCCTTATTATATGAAATGTTAAAGGGACTTACCTAAGAAAAAGAAGATTCAAAACTATGAACAGTAAAATGAAAACAAACTCACAACTCTCAACAACTGAACCTAAAAATAATGAAAAGAGAAGCTAAGCAAGCAACTAGAACAGGAACAGAATCAGAGGAATGGTGATCACATGGAGGATTTTCAGTGGGGAGTGGGAAGGGAAGAATGAGGGGAGGTACAGGGAATAAGAAGCATAATTGGTAAGCATAATTGGTAAGCATAAAATAGACGGGGAGAAGTTAAGAATGGTATTGGAAATAGAAGTCAAAGAACTTATATGTACGACCCATGGACATGAACTAAGGGGGGGAATGCTGGAGGGTTGGGGGGTGCACGGCAGAGGGGGGATAAAGGAGAAAAAAATGGGACAACTGTAGTAGCATAATCAATAAATTATACTTTAGAAAGAACAAATAATTTTCATGAAAAAGTCTCTTCAAATATCTATAGTAAAATAGCAAAATAAAGTTTCATAGTTCATTATTTATTTCTGGATAACAGTATTTTTAATTAATCATCTTGCTTTCTTCAGTTTATGTGTCTGACTCTAAAGTGAGAGGTAAGGAGCAGTCTAGAAAATTAGAAACAGATGTAGGATTATTTCTAATATTTTAAGTAACTTTGCAGTCATCTGGCAGTGATGGACATGTAATATCCTGCTACTTTTTAATTTATTTTTTTTCTGAGTTAGCTTTGAGGGCTGTGAAAAGGAATTTGAGTTTGAATTCAATTTGATGGAATAGTAAGGAATAATGTATTAATCAGATTAAATACTAGCAACAATTAAAACTGATTTTATAGTAGAGTATCTGGAAAATGTTCACAGTGAAATAAACAGTTATGGTTAATCTTAGGAAATGAATTAAGAGAAGGGTATTCTCTTCTTTTTTGTAGTTTTATGGAGTTTACAATCAACATGTATTATTTCTGTAATGGGGGAAAGTTAACTGGAAAAGTAGACGGAAGTATACCTATATGACAGAGGCATCTTTGGGTATTAGCGTCTTGGTTGATATTTCTTCTATTTTTGTTTTTCAAATGTTTTATATTGAGCATATATATTACTTTTATATTAAAAACAGTAGGCTTTGCTAAAAAATTAAGTGTTTGACTATTTTTAAAAACTAATAATTATAACAATATGTACTTGTAGTAAACTATAAAAGTAAAGAAGAGTAGAAATAAGTTTTAAAATCATATTGTACTGTACTTTGAATAGTCTTTTTAGGAATAATTTTTAATTTGTTTAGTATAATCAGATTAATTGGGTATTATTTTTCATTGTATTTTATTGATTATGCTATTACACTAGTCCAAATTTTTCACCCTTTGCCCCCCTGCACTCAGCACCCCTACTCCCTTAGGCAATCCTCCCACAGTTGTTCATGTCCATGGGTCATGCATATAAGTTCTTTGGTTACTCCATTTACTAAACTATATTTTACATCCCTATGGCTATTCTGTAACTACCTATTTGTACTTCTTAATCCCCTCACCTCTTCACCCATTCTCCCCCACCCCTCCCATCTAGCAACCATCAAAACGCTCTACGTATCCATGATTCTGTCTCTGTTCTTATTTGCTTAGTTTGATTTTTAGATTCAAATTTGTTGATAGATATATATGTTTGTCATTTTATTGTTCATAGTTTGATCTTTTTCTTAAATAAGTCCCTTTAACATTTTATATAATAATGGTTTGGTGATGATGAACTCCTTTAGTTTTTTCTTGTCTGGAAAGCTCTTTATCTGTCCTATGATTCTAAACAATAGCTTTTCTGGGCAGAGAAATCTTGACTATAGGTCCCTGCTTTTCATGACTTTGACTATTTCTTGCCTATCCCTTCTAGCCTGCAAAGTTTCTTTTGAGAAATCAGCCGACAGTCTTATGGGAACTCCCCTGTAGGAAACTAACTGGTTTTCTCTTGCTGCTTTTAAGATTCTCTCTTTATCTTTAACCATTGGCATATTAAATATGATGTGTCTTGGAGTGGGCCTCTTTGCATCCATCTTGTTTGGAATTCTTTGTGCTTCCAGGACTTGCATGTCTGTTTCCTTCACCAACTCAGGGAAGTTTTCTTTCACTACTTTTTCAACTAGATTTCCAATTTCTTGCTCTTTCTCTTTTCCTGGTACCCTTACGGTGTGAATGTTGGAACCCTCAAATTGTCCCACAGGCTGCTTATACTCTCCTCATTTTTTTGGATTCTTTTTTTCTTCTTCTTGTTCTGATGGATTGTTTTTTGCTTCCTTATGTTCCAAATCATTGATGTGATTTTTGGCTTCCTCCATTCCACTGTTTTTTCTCTGTAAATTGTTTATTTCAATTAGCATATCCTTCATTTCTGACTGGGTCTTTTTTGTGTGTGCTGCTGATGCCCTTGCTATGTTTGTTGAGCATCCTTAAACCAGTGTTTTGAACTCTGTATCTGATAGATTGCTTCTCTCTTTCGTTTAGCACTTTTTTCTGGAGTTTTGATCTGTTCTTTCATTTGAGCCATGTTTCTTCATCTCCTCGTCTTGGCAGCCTCCCTGTGTTTGTTTCTATGTATTAGGTAGAGCTGCTTTGATTGCATGTCTTGGTAGCATGGCTTAATGTAGTAGGTATCCTATAGGGTCCAATGGCACAGCCTCCCCTATCACCCAAGCTGGGTGCTCAAGGTGTGCCCATCATGTGAGCTGAGTACACCCTCCTCTTGTAGTTGAGACTTGGCTGCTGTTGGCAGATCAATGGGAAGGATTTACCCAGGCCAGTCAGCTGCAAGGACTGGCTGTGACCACTGACCACCAACTTCTGCCCTCCATGGAGGATGAGCTCTGCAGGTGCAGGGTGGTGGTGCTCCAGTGTGGCCTGTAGCTGTCCACTGGGAGCACTGGCCCTGGGATTTCCCAGGTGGTGCAGGCCAAGGTCAGCCCCCACCTGTGTTTTTCCCAGGTCACCCTGCCTGAGCTATAAAGCAATCTGAGATGGCTGATACTTGTGCAGGGCTGGAGATTCCCAGGGGAAGCCAAGGTGGGAATCTAAGCTGGCTGCTGATAGTGCCTGGCCTGGGGGCTCACTGAAGCCCACTGTTGCTTGTTTGAGAGGGTTTAGAAGTTGTGAAGCAGGAGCCAGGATTAGCCATGGATATGGAAAAGCCAATTGGATGGGCCAAGAAGTTGGGTGGGGCAGAGTCTTTAGGGATCTCCAAGGTGGGTCAAACAGTATTAGCCAGGTTGATGGAGTCTCAGATATGAAACCAGCTTACTGGGTCTGTGGCAGGCAAGTTTGGCAAAGGACAATGACCTCTGCTATTTTTGATGCTAGACATTTCAGTTTCTCCCTGTATACCATTGGTGCCTTTCAAGCTGCTACCCCAGTGCTGGAGTTCAAAGGGAGTAAGCCTGAGTAGTGAGTCCATGTGTGGGTTCTTTAAGAGGAACTGCTTGGAGCTCCAAGCAGTTTCTTCCAGACTCAATACCCATCAGTTTTTGCTGCCAGAAGTTATGGGACTTATCTTCTTGGTACTGGAACCCTGGGCTAGGTGTCCTGATATGGAGCTGGGATTCCTTGCTCCCGAGATATCCCTCCCAAATTTTTATCCACCACACATGGATGTGGGACCAGCCCATTCCACATCTGCACCCCTCCTATCAGTCCAGATGAATGTGGTTTCTTTAATTCTGTAGTTGTCAGACTTTCATTCAACTTGATATCTGATGGTTGTAGTGATGGTTGTTGTATATTTTAGTTGTAATTTTGATGTAGTTGTGTGAAGAGGTGGGCCATGTCTGACTACTCCACTATCTTGACCAGAGGTCGGTTAATTGGGTTTTAATCACAACTCTTACTTAATAATTGTGTGACTTTGGGCAGGTTTCTTAACCACTCAATGCCTCAGGTTTCTTATCAGTAAAATGAGAATAATAGTATCTACCTCATGAGCTAGTTAAGTGTATTTTACATCTAAAGTGCTTAAAAGTGCCTGGTGCAAAGTGAGTACTCCATAAATGTAATCTGTCATTATTGTGCTGTACTCTATAAATTTGTATCATGCTTTTAAAAATTAATGGTGTTACATAAGCTTTCCCCCATTTTTACTATTTGTTACGTTGAATGAACTACGGTATTTTATGTCAGTGTACCATAATTTACTTAACAATTCTCCTCTCATTAGAAATTTTGTAGTATTACCAAAGTTTCCATTTGTTAGTTTCAGTCAAAAGATTTTTAATTATATTTTAAAATTTCAGGGATCATTCACATTTGTATGACCCTTAATCTTAGCAGTAGGCATTGTGGTACTAGTTCTTAACCAGAGGCATGCATCTGGAAGAAAAACTCTTGTATATATGAAAACTTGTTACAGCAAACACTCTGAATTAGAGTTATGACTAAAACAAAAATCAGCAAGCTGTGTCACATTTTATACAGAACAATACTAGGAAATATTGTTTTAATCTCAGAAGGTGATTTTAAAATCTAAGTGAAATTTTATTTTCCACAGATGATTCGTGCAGGCTTTTTCCTGATTCAGACAAAGGAAGTGTCCATGAAAGCTGAGGATGCTCAAAGAGTTTTTCGGGAAAAAGCACCTGAATTCCTCAATCTTCTGAACAAAGGTACCTTCTGAATGATTGGTATACTTTTGTGGTTATCCTTTTGACATGCTGATTTCACTTACTCTGGTCTTTAGCTTTTCTCTTACATTGCCTTTTCTTTTTTAAAAAAGATTTTATTTATTTATTTTTAGAGAGAGGGGAAGGGAAGAAGAGAGGGAGAGAAACATCAATGTGTGGTTGCCTCTCTTATGCCCCCAACTGGGGACCTGGCCCGCAACCCAAGCATGTGCCCTGACTGGGAATCAAATCGACAACCTTTTGGTTCACAGGCTGGCGCTCAGTCCACTGAGCAACACCAGCCAGAGGTGCATTGCCTTTTCTTTCTCATTTGTTTTATGTTTTTTCCTACTATTATTCAGAACTGTCAAAGTTTCACATTTAAAAAAAGGCTATATAACTAATCAGAAATCAGACATTAAGTTTTTTCCTATTCTATTGTCTTAGTAGTTGAAAGTCACATTATGTGTTTTATTGTTTTTATTTTAGTTATATTATTGTACTATAGTGAATGATCATTTCATTCTCCCTACCCAGAATTACAAAGCACTTTATAAGGATTCTTTCTGCCTTCAGTGTGCTTTGATCATACTAGAATAGTAAGAAATATAAATAAAATGGTATACTATTTTATATATTTAATATGATTGATTAACTTCTCATTCATAATTAGGATTGTTTTTCCCAGCAGGCAAATGCTACCAGTAAATTTCAGATACTGGATATATGTCTGCAAACAGAGGAACTATAGTTACTGTGCCCTTCTGGAGGGTTCCTTTCTGCCTATATATATTGAAGGTGTGCTGATTCTATAGGACAGGGCACTGTTTCTTCGTGAGTCAGGGACATTGTTTGCTTAAGACTCACAGGCTTTTCATGACTGAGCTGAGCAAATATATATAGTAATATGTAGTGCTGATTGGGTACACCCCAGGAAGAAGGAACATCTATCTGCATTTACATGTCCTTTATGTATAAATAAGTTATAATAAACTACAAAAACTTGTATGAAAATGTTGGAGGATTTTTGGATAATTTTAATAACTAATGTTGGGTGTGACTCAGCCCTTAAGTGTTAGCAGAATATTTCATATGCCTTTGTGGTTACTGTAGTAGTATCAAGAACTTTCTCCAAGCCAGAGTGTGAATCTGTCCCAAGTTATATGTAAGAAATTAAGACGTGACTCCTTTGATGCAACCTTTTTTGACATGGCGACATTCTGATAGAACCTTGAAAATGAACCTTTAAACTCACAGTAGCTTTCAGAAATTTAATCAAGTATTACATGTAATAGGCTTCCTAAAATGTGAGTATTAGGGATGAAGTGAGCATATGAATAGGTCTAAATTAATTATTTATATGCTCATGTATAATGTTGGTAAAGTGGTTTCATGGAATTGCTCTAACCAAAATATAATGTCTGTGTTTAAGTAATACAACATTCCACATGGAAAAAGTACAATGTTCTGTTCTTGCAAAAAGTAGAACTAAAACCAGTGGGCAGATGTTATAGGGATTTCAGCAAATAAACATCATATGTACAGCTTTTAAATCCAGAGGTGCCCATAGGAAGTAGTCAAATACTAATGAAATCACGTCAAAAGGTCACAGAAGGCAGCTTGAAGGGGTTTCCACTGACCAAATTTGGGACAATTTGAGCATTAAAAGGAATAATGAAGGGAACTGATTTAACAACAGAAATACATGCATCCATAGTGGTTGTAAAAAAGGGGGAAAGAGGAATAAAGGAAAACTCTTCTGCTTTTTACAGAATACTGTGAGCTAATTGTAGAAGAAATGATAGATTTTAGAAATTACCATTTTCCAACTGCTGGTATAATGATTAATTCAGACAAAGATTATCAGTGGATTCTGACACTATTGGATAAAAGTTTATAAGAAATAGGATATTTATATATTTTAATTCAAAGCAGAAGTATACCTTTACAGCAGAGATTTGGTGTTCACATTAAGCCAGTGAACAAACTTACCATCACTGATGGTAGGGCAGCCTGACATTGTATTTTTCCTGATGTGATGCAGTAAAAATATAAAGCACTACCCATGAAGTATTCTCATCAAAAATATTTAACCTGAATCTTATCGAGCCAAGACTTAACTTGTAGTTTATAGGAAGGAAAGGAAATCTAGGGAAATGTTAAATGACACCATGAGGAAACAGTGAGACACATCCAAAATAGAAGACATTCTACAAGACAACTGGCTGAGATTCTTCAGACAGTGTCCTGGGAAACAAAAATGATGGAGGACTTCTGTATTAAAAGAAACATAACAGCTAAATGTAAGGAATGAACTTTGATTGGTTCTTGGATTGGGGTGGGATGAGCTAGCTGGAAAGCTGTACGAGACATTTTTGGGATAACTGGGGAAATGTGAAGATTATATGGAATTATTGTCAGTACCCATAAGTATGATGATGGTATTGTGGTCATGTAGGAGATGTATGCTGAAATGTCATGATATGTGCTGTTTTCAAATGCCTCAGCAAAACAAAAACAAAGTGTGTGTGTGCTCATTTGTACACATGATAAAGAAAATCAATTGCCCTGGCTGGTGTGACTCAATGGATTTAAGTGCTGGCCTATGAATCAAAGAATCGCTGGTTCGATTCCTATGCCTGGGTTTCAGGCCAGGTCTCTGGTAGGGGGCACATGAGGGGCAACCACACATTGATGTTTCTCTCCCTTTCTTCCTCCCACCCACTCTCTATAAATAAATAAAATCTTTTAAAAAAAGAAAAACAAGAAAATCAATATATAACCTTGTTGTATGTATGTCTATTTAAAGACACCTTTTTAGTATATATTATTAATTCATTAATACTGGACCTAGAGCCAACAGCACTGTAACTCATGCCTGAATGAAGCTTACCTAAAAGATATTTTCTCTGTAAGGAATATCACAGCCTTCCTAAGCTCAGGAACATTATATAGCACTTGAGCACTACATTTGTGGGCCATTTTAAAAAGTATTTTATTTATTTATTTTTAGAAAGAGGGGAGGGAGGGAGAAAGAAGGAGGGAGAGAGACACTGATGTGTGAGAGAAACATCGACTGGTTGCTTCTCACACACCCCCAACTGGGGGCCTGGTTCACAACCCAGGTATATGCCCTGGCAGGGAATGGAACCCGTGACCTTTTGGTTCACAGGCTGATGATCAATCACTGAGCCACACCAGCCACGGCCATTTTTGAGCCTCTTTAAAGAGTAAAATCACCACCAAAAAGTACAAAGTGTGGAAAATGTGGCACTAAATAGACTGTGAAAAGGACACTTGTTTAGAGGATAAATGCCAAAACAAGAAGGCAGAGCATCACTTTGTTCAACTTCACCTAAGAACATGCATGTCAGACAACTCAAATTTTTTGCCACTCTGTGTGTGTCTACGAATGACCATGAAAAACTGCAAGTATTGATTTTGGGGTTACAAGTAAATTTTATAAAATAGGTAAATACACAAAGAATCCGCAAATAATAAGGATCAACTATATATGTATTTGATGTTAAAATTTTTCCTTTAAACATCCTGCAAATTTTGATATATGTTTTCATTTAATTCTGGGCTTGGTAAAATATGGCCTACTCTATGTTTTGTAAGTGAAGTTGTTTGTTTTTTTTTACTTTATTTTTATTGTTGACACTATTACAGATATCCCCATTTCCCCCTTTTTGCCCACCTTCACCCTGTGCCCCCCGTCCTCTGGTTATCACTACTCTGTTGTCTGTGTCTATGAATTATGTATATATGTTTTTGGCTAATCCCTTCACCTTCTTTCATCCAGCCCCCCTCCCTCTTCCCCTCTGACAGCTGCTAGTATGTTCCATGTGTCCATGCCTGTGTTTCTATTTGTCAGTTTGTTTGGTTCATTAGATTCTACATATAAGTGAGATCATATGGTATTTGTCTTTCTCTTACTGGCTTATTTCACTTAGCATAGTAATCTCTAGGTCTGTCCTTGCTGTTGCAAAAGGTAAGATTTCCTTCTTTTCTATGGCTGTGTAGTATTCCATTGTATAACATACCACAGCTTTTTTATTCACTCATCTTACTGATGGGCACTTGGGCTGTTTCCAGATCTTGGCTATTGTAAATAACACTGTTGTGAACATAAGGGTGCATATATTCTTTTGAATTGGTGTTTTGGTATTCTTAAGATACATTCCCAGAAGTGGGATTGCTGGGTCAAGAGGCAGTTCCATTTTTAATTTTTTGAGGAAACTCCATACTGTTTTCCACAGTGGCTGCACCAGTTTGCATTCCCACCAACAGTGCACTAGGGTTCCCTTTTCTACACATCCTTGCCAGCACTTGTTGTTTGCTGATTTATTGATGGTAGCATTCTGACAAGTGTGAGGTTGTATTTGGAGTACAGCCACACTCATTTTTGTATCTATTGTTTTGCTGATTTCCTATCTGGCCCTATACAGAAAAAATATGTTTTATGACCCCTATGTAGTTCATAGTATCTTTTAGTTTCCCTGGAGACTTTTCACTTGATCCATGGATTATTTAGAAGTATATTGTTTAATTTCCAAACATTTGGAGATTGTCCAGATGTGTTTCTGGAATATATTTGTAGATTAATGCTATTATGGTCTGAAAACACACATTGTGTAGTTTCTATTTTCCTTATTTAAGGTTTCTTTTGTGGAACAGAATGTAGGGTATCTTGGTGAATATTTTATATGCATGTGAGAAGAAGAATGTATAATCTGCTTTTGTTTGGTAGAATGTTCTATAAATGCCCACTAGGTCAATTTAGTTGATAGTGCTATTCAGGTCATCTATATCCTTACTGATTTCCTGCCTACTTGTTCTATTAATTAAAGAGAGAAGGGTGTCAAAGTCCCCAACTATAATAGTGGATTTGTCTATTTCTGTTTTCATATCTTATCAGCTTTTGCTTTGTGAATTTTGAAACTTTGTTGTTAGATGCATATACATTTAGGATTGGTATGTCTTCTTGAAGAGTCCTTTAC